GGGGGGGGGGGGTGTTTGGGTGTGGGTGTGTAAGCTTACTCTAATGGAGCCTGGGTAAAGATCGGTCTACTAACCTTCTTACTAGAGGTAAGATCTTCCCCAACTAAAATACCATTTGGTAAACCCAAAATCATCTAAAAACTTTATATACAATTGAATCCATAGAGAGATCGATGAAATACATAGGTAACCATGATTTAGACCTCTATAAAGCTTCTAGAAATGGAGAATGAACTCATCTTGGTGATTTCTAGACAAAACTTAGAAAAGCGAAGAAACTTTAGATGAGGGTATGACTAATAACTTGACCCACACTTGATTTCCTTGCTTCAAAGCCTTCCAAGACCTCCTTAAATGCAGTAGTAAATGCTTCTAATCCGATTTAACAAGGAGAAGGAGAAAGAGAATGAAGTGAAAATAATGAAACCCTATTCAAAATCGAGCATTTAAGTCGCCCAGACTAGTCCCCACGACTTTTCTTTTGCCACGACAAAAGTCGCCCTCGTCAAAAACCCAAATTGATAGTGAGTTGCGTGGGTTTGGCCACGACTTAAGCCACGCGCCAAGCCGCACAGACCACTGTTTGTTCCATTCTGCAAATTTGGTCCTTTAAACATCTAATTCACAAATTTCACCAACTCCCTCACTAAATATTTGTTCCATACTTAAAAATTCAATATAAAAAAAATATCAAAGACATAACGAAATTTCGGGCTTTACACCTTGCACACATACCATTTCCGGCTTCTATTCCCTTGCACACACACCAATTCTGGAGCCCCTTTCACACATACAAACCAGATCTAGTGTGTTAAAATATGTCAACAAATTAAAACCAAAACAAATTGGTGACTTTCTTCACATTGCACTCACACACATACCATCAGAACAAACTTCAAAGAACTCCAAAAATACAACAATCAAAAAGAAAAAAACAAACCCAAGTTATTTGTGTATTCTATTATTGGGTCTTCATTATTCATCTTAATTCAAACAAAACGAGATATGTGATTGTGGTTATATATGCTCTAGTTCTTGTATACACACGCACACAACCATGATGTTTCTGATACACACATAGAGATGAATATGACTGATGAACGTATATCGATAATGGGAGGTGTTGCACCAAAAAAGATGGTTTTTGTTGTTCAAAGACTCGATATTTATAATTTACTGATAGTCCTTGTGGTTCACGATTCATTATTTTATTTAGTCCATGTGATCTAAATTCATTGTCATTTTCGCCTCTCATAGTTAACATTAAACCCTGATGGAGTTAGCCTCAGGGATGAAAACAACAATAAATTTCAAACCATAAGAAGAAAACCCTAATTTCAAAAGCACAAGAACGATTTTCGTAATTTTAACAAACTATTTGCTTAGTAAATTTTAAGGACATGACTTGTTTTATGTGGTTACATTTGTAAATTTGGTCGCTTTTGACAAATTTAAAGCAAATTATTTTTGTAACGATACGATCCAAAATAATGACTAATTTTATTAGAAGATTAACTTAGAAAAGAATATGGATGCAAAAAGTTAGTTTTGCATCACGAAACGAAATCCTAAAAACAGATTTTGAAATTATTTTTAATGTCAAGATTTCTATAATGTGATTACTCTTTGATCTATCAATTTCAAAAAAGCGACTACTTTTCTTTGTTGTTCATCAATCGTATTCATTGTGGGTTGTTAAAAATTAAAAAGGGGGTAAACTTATGGCTATGACTCATATATGAAAGGTCCACTCTGTAATTAATATATAATGCAAGGGGTCCAAATGTAAATTTCTATCATCTCGTTCAATCATACAAATATTCTTCATAGAAGAACCCATGTTTCCAAGTCAATCCTCCCCACTCGCATATGATGCGCGTGGCCACTCCGGGTTTTAACACGTGTGATTTCATTTAGACGCCTAATTTTATAAAAAAATTCAATTGACCACCATTACTATCAATATTCCAAGAAAAACCCCTAACTTTTGAGTAGAAATTCCATTCTGGTACAAATCTCCTCTTTAGGTTATTAGTTATTTTCAATTTAATAACTGAATTAAAAATCATTATAAAGCAATATAATTTTTTTAATTAACCTGGATATTCAACTCGTTATGTGAGCCGACTAATTCCAGAACGACCATCTGCTTTGCAGATAGCCCAGAGTTACCGCATTTGAACCTCCGTGGCCACAAGGGGATTTTTATTTCTCCTTGGATTTGAACATGAGACCTTCTGGTACTTTTGACATGTGGAGTCAAACTCAAACCAATCAAGCACTACCCTTATGGTTTAAAATCATATAAAATTTATTGCATATGCCGCTAAGTTTTGATACCATGCTCCATGTTATTTGTTAAAATCATTAACAATAAATAATTTTAAAAATACAATATTTTAGCAGTGATAAAAAAATGACATAAATTCAAAATCATATAAAAGTTGTACAGTTATTATTATTAGAATTCATACTTAGACACTAAGGTTTGTATATGATCATATTTTTATTAATTTAAATGAATTTAATAAAATAAAAATATTATAAAATTAACAAGAAAAGATTAGAGACCTACACAATACACATATTATAAACTTGAGTCCATGTAAGTTTCTATAAAGTGTTAAAGATATGTTCACATTTTCCTGAACATGACAAAAAATTATTATTCTTTTGCATATATTATTATTATAATTAAAATAAAACATTTCTTTGAAAGTTACAAGTATTTCAAGGGAAATTGTTATATACTTAGTGTGTAAGCTTTTCATAAGCAATCCTCAAAGAATTGGCAATGTTGTAAAATTGCCCCTCGGGATTAACTTTGTCATTGTGTAAAAGTAACAAATTGCAAATGGAACAATCATATGAGCTTTGATATATGGTTAAATTAGATTGAGCTTTTCCATTAGTTCTTGATGATTCTTTGAGTTATGAACGAGATTAAATGTTAGCCACTGAAATACTTCGTTAAAAAATCGAGTAATTTGGATGAAAAAGGGAAAGAACAAGTAGTGAGAACACAATTGAATCCAATTTTTTAAATCAGTTGCATTATTTTGAATTTCTAGATTCTGATTTGCTGGTTAAAAGAATTGAGTACGCTGCATTGATATGGACCTAGTTTTTGTTGTCCCAAACACCAAATACTGATTTTAAGTGGTGATATGTTTTCTGTAATTCATCAAAGCTGTAAGAACTCAAGAAGAATCTTTTTGAATTAAATGAAAATTGTAGGTCTTTCCTCTCGTTTGAACCTTGCCTTGCCTTTAATTTTGTGTACTACAAAATTATAAAATGAAAACTAAGTGGTCAAAATACACTTAGGGGTCATTTACCAAACACTTATCCTGTAAGTGCTTACTGAAAAAATTTAACACTATTATTTACTTACTCGGTACGATTTTAGTTTATCAAAACGATATCGTATGCAACAATTTACCCGGTAAGCGCTTACTGTGGTAAGAGTTGTCGCCCTCACTTACCGGGTAAGACTCTTGGTCCTTGTCTCGCTCTTACCAGGTAAGATTCTTGGTCCTTACCATATTCATTTGATAAGATAATGTTACTCGGTAAATGCTTACCCGGGTAAGCGTTTGGTAAACGGCCCCTTAGACTTAGGGGACATTTGCCAAAACGTTATCGGGGTAAGTGCTTATCAAGTCACTTTATCTCACCGGATGACTATGGTGAGAACCAAAAATCTTACCCGATAAGAACGAGACAAGGAGCAAGAGTCTTACCCAGTAAGTGAGGGCAAAGACTCTTACCACAGTAAGCGTTTACCGGGTAAATTATTGCATACGCGTTTTGATGGACTAAGATCTTACCCAACAAGTAAATAATAGTGTTATATTTTACCGGTAAGCACTTACCGGGTAAATGTTTGGTAAACGGCCCCGACTTAATGTTTGGGATGGTTTTTGAATAAAGATAAAAGTTATGGGGTGTAAGTGAAAAAGTTTCATTTCATACACGAGAAGCAAACCGGCGCCGCCCAAGAGAAATAAATCGGTTTAAATTCAAAAACCGGAGGCTCTTCTGTATATTATAAAAGCATCCCTTTTGCCCTACATTGCTCTTTCTTTTTCTCTTTGTAAAACTCTTTCACATTATCTGCTCCAAACACCTCTCTTTCTCTCTCTACAACTCCTTTCTTGCTTCATCGGAGATCAATCTTATTGACTTCCTTTAGGGTTCAAGAAGCAGGCAAAGAAGCTAGTTTATTGGGTAAATATCTCTTCAAACCCTTCAATTTGTATATCTTGATTTTGTATGCGCTTAAGCTTCTGTAACGTTTCCGATTGATTTAGTTCGTGGGTTTTTGTACGGATTTTTGTCTGTTTAATCTGATTTTGTGGGTTTGTAGGTTTTGGGTGTAATAAGACATCATATCATCATCTTGTTGTCGATGAAAATATTGGGTTATTAAGGTTGTAACTTTTAGGGATCTCAATTTTTGGGTTCTATAATGGATCTTGATGTCGTTCTTTTGTTAATTAGAACTTGGATGGTGATTTATTACCGTAGATTTCTCATTTTTGATGTTATTGCTGTTATGCCCCCTTTTGGAATTTTGATTTTGTGTGTTATCTGTTTTATATTGGAACTGCAATTGAGGAACTGCAATTTTGGTGTTTTATATAGTGATTGTAGGTGTTTTGATAGTTTGATGAGTCATGTGTCGGTATTTATATAGTGGTACTTATGCTATTTGCTATGAATTGTTGATGGATTAGTGCTTGTGCTGAGTTATCGACATATATAAAGATGCCAAAGGAGAGAAGGGACCGATCTGTGTCTATTGATAGGTCTTGGACTACTCCATACGTATGCAGCACTAGTCACTCAAAACGATCGTTGGCCAAGAACCCTTTAGAGAGCGAAAATGTAAAAGAATGGGAAGAAGCCCGATGCCCTGTGTGTATGGAACACCCTCATAATGCAATTCTTCTGTTATGTTCTTCGCACGATAAGGGTTGTCGACCATTTATGTGTGACACAAGCTACCGCCACTCTAATTGCTTTGATCAGTTCCAAAAGGCGTCTTCTGAAATGCAAGCAATGGTGGATCCACAGGTTCCAGCCACACAAAGCACCGTGGTCCCTGGAAGCTTTGAAGGTGCACCCACACCCCCAATGGCTTGTGAGACTCAAGAAAAGCTAAAGCTGATCTGCCCTCTGTGCCGTGGGCAGGTGAATGGATGGATTGTTGTGGAGGCTGCTCGCCTATTCATGAACGCCAAATCAAGAAGCTGTGCTAGTGAGACTTGTGAGTTTTCTGGCACGTATACGGACCTCAGGAAACACGCAAGAATGGTGCATCCGCTTGTGAGACCATCGGAAGCTGATCCAGATAGGCAGCGGGATTGGAGGAGGTTAGAAAGACAGAGGGACATTGGAGACCTTTTGAGTACCCTTCAATCTTCTATGGGAGATGAGAGGGTTGAAGATAGCAATAGCACAAGTGGTTTATCCTTGGATGAAGGAGGATGGTTAACCGTATTTTTCTTGATTCGAGTTTTCAGACCAAGAAGTAGTTCAAGGAGCAGTAGTTGGTCTGGAAGTTCTCGAGCTAGAGCCCATGTGACCATTAGGAGGAGACCGACTACAAGGCTTTGGGGTGAGACCCATAATGAGGAATCCAGAGATGATGAGAATGTGGCATCGGATGGGGGTTCAGGCCCACGGCAACGGACTAGACGACAACCTGCTCCAGATAGCGATGAATCTTGATTACAAGAATCATTGTAAGAGGAACTGCAGCCAATTCATTTCAAGTTTTAATTTTTATAATATCTGTTTCAGGTATGAGAGTGAGCAATGCAGATTTGTAAGAGAAGAGATTGCAATTTGAAACTTAAATACTATTTGTTCATACATGCTAAATTTTATCATCTACTTGTATTGGTCATCTGTTATGATTTCAAAAAAGAGAGAAATGGGCAAATGTGATTGTGTCTGAACCATTAAGCATGTTTTCAGTTGAAACCAAGATTCATATTCTTTTGTAGCATTTAGCAGGAGGGGTCTGTTTGTTGTGTGGCCAGCTTAATTAACATCTTTCTAGCTGCAATGGTAATTGATTTAGGTTGGATATCATACATCTTAAGCTGTTGGTTGTGTTGACCTGTGAGGGTCATATTTGTTGAATGATTTCATGATAAGGTGTGAAGGGTGATTTTATGTGGATGGAATAATAATTGGGGCTCATGCTGTGTGATATTTATTTAAAGAAGGCAGAAGGGAAGGGCTGAATGATGGAGGAGAAGCACCCATCATTTTTTTTTAATTTTGTTATTCATCATGTGCCACAGCTGAATATTATTAGCTGGAATTCTTTTTTTGCCAAATTATGGAGATGGTGGCTGAACAAGCCAAAGCCTTTCACTTGCTATGAACCACCTGATTTTATTACCATTCTACTATTTGTTTTCTTGAATATGGAAAGGAAATAAAGATTCTGATTTGTTGGTTATCAAAGACTCTTGGGATAACCCAACAATTCTAGATTACAGGTTCCCTGCATGATGCAGCACCGGTGAATCATATTTTTGAAATATTAGTTTAGTTTTGAATCATGAGTTTGTGTGGTTATTTTACAAGTCAACTAATATATAAAGTTGAAGACTAATATGGTGTATTAGTAAGATCGATTGAAAAAATAATTGCATACATGTTGAATTTCTAAACCTATATAGAGTTGAAGGGTTGGGGTGGGGTATATGCAGGATCTGAAATCCTTTCTGATATTGTTGCTTCAAATTTCAGTTTACTTCAAGAGAAAAAAAACTTTGAGTTTGAATTTGGGTTCAAAATAGGAAACAAACAAAATGTCAAACAATTTTGGGAAGACTAAACATACTTTTTTCATGTAAATATGGTTTATTTAAATCTGAAACTTTGACCAAACAAATTGTATGTTTTAAGCATTTGTACATTATGCATAATAGTTTGTACTTAAGAGATTTTTGTATCTCTTGTATAAATTGATAATATTTTATGCTTTGAGACTTGTAATTAAGACTTTTAGTCTAAATGCTTATTAATGTAATATAGATATTATAGTTTTAAAAAGAAAATAAAAAGAAACAAGTTCTTTTATTTTTGTACGGGAAATGGAAGGAAACAAAATAATTTTGTATGTCTTTTACCTGAATAGAAAGAAAATAACAGTTGTTTAGCATTTGTATACATGACATAACTGATTAAATGACCAATTTACTTATAACGAGTTGTTTATATATTTTGATTAAAATTTCATGTAATTTATTAAATTATAACAGAATAAATATTTTTTATAACAAAATATACCATTAGAAAGTTTTCATCAACACTATTAAAATGACACCAAAACAAAAGCTTACGTAAATTAATCAAATTTAATATGTAATAGATTACGTAAATTAATCAAATTTAAATAAAATTTAAAGAATACAATAAATAACATAAAAATCTAATGAGCTTAAAATACAATAAATAAAATTTAAAGAACAAATATAATGTGAACATGAAGGCGCATTTGATATTTTAGAAGAGAATTAGATTTTATTTTAAGGATATAATGATAAAACAGAAGTTGTTCCACCTTGTTCCATGGGGTTAGGGTGGAACACGTCTGTTCCACTCTGTTGCTGTTTCTACCACATAAAAGTTCTGCCAAACGTGGCACATTGATCCTTGTTTTGCTATATTCTGTCATGTCCAGTGTACGAAATGCACTTTAAAAGATGTCATTTTTACATATGGGACGAAACGTGAAAAACCTGTGCTATTTATTTTCCTTCGGATTCATTTCTTCTCTTCTTAAAAAATCTAAAATACAATTCTTCCAAATTTATAATTTCTTGATCTAAAGCATCCACAGTTAAGGATTTAGAATATCCGAATAGTCTGAAATCCGAATCTGGACCGAAAATAAGATGTCTATGCAAATCCGAATGTCTCAAAATCCGAAATTCGATTTGAAATTCTTTTAAAAAAATAAGACTGCACGATGCAAATATCGAAATTTGGTTGAAATTTTTCATCGATCGAGATCAATTATTAATATCTTGAATAAGATAAATAAATGTAATGTTATTTAGGGGTCGTTTACCAAACGCTTACTCGAGTAAACGAACACCAAGTCACATTACCTTACCAGACGAATATGGTAAGGATCAAGAATCTTACCCTGTAAAAGCGAGACAAAAATCAAGAGTCTTACCCGGTAAGTAAGGGCGACGACTCTTACCACGGTAAGCGCTTACCAGGTAAATTGTTGCATAGGATACCGTTTTGGTGGACTAAAATCTTACCCGATAAGTAAATGATAATGTTAAATTTTACCGATAAGTGCTTACTGAGTAAGTATTTGATAAACGACCCTTTACTAATTTTATTATTTACTAACTTTGTTACATTAATTTTAAATTTTTTTAATAACTTAAATTATTTTCAAAATTAAAATAATAGTAATTTTTTTATAATAATTAATTATATATTATTTTTATATTTTATTATTATAATTATTAGAGTAAATTACGGGTTTCTAGGTATGTCAAAAGTTATGGACTTGGTCCCTAAGGTATGTTAAAAATTATATAATTGGTCCCTAAGGTATGTCAAAAATTATAGATTTGATCCTTTAACTTCATTTATTACAGAAGGTGTGCAGCTTTTTTATAGACTTGGTCGCTGAGACTAACGGTCGTCTATTAATTCCGTTAAACTCAAAGGCATTTCAATCTTTTTATTATTTTAATTAACAGATTCATCTTCTCTTGTTTTATTCAGTATCTTCAACCACCAAGAATGTGATGAACAAAAAAACATAAATTACACCCATTCAAAAACATCAAGAACTGTAAAAACTAAAACGAAAGCATCATCATCAAGAACTATAATATAAACTCTAAATTAAAAATCTATATCAAATTCTAAATCAAGTTCTAAACCAAACCTAAATGAACCTTGTCAGTCTTGAAGAAGGAACATTGGATCAAAAGGGAAACAGAGCGATTGATCTCTGAGATAAAAAATCTAATTCAAAGCCTAATGAAAAAACAAAACAGAAAATGTACCACATTCATATTCAAACTATTTTAAAAACGTAAATCACAGGGGCAGAAAACGGGATTAGATCCATATCCATATACCGCGAATATATGAGTAAATATTACTAACTCTCGTTTGATATATAACCTTAACATGTTATTTGTTTTAGTGGTCACCACCACCAGTTACGGCCGCCGCCACCATCGGTAGCCACAGTCGACAAATTCCCCTCCTCCATCACCTCCACAACCACCATCGACCATCGACTACTCCCGTCTATCACCACCTCCACAACCACCATCGGCCACCTACCACCACCGTCCATCCCCACTACCACCGTTGACCACCTCCACCTTCTTTTCTACTACAACAACCTCCACCACCTCCACAACCATCATCGTTCACTGACCACCACCGTCCATTGCCACCACCACTATCACTGTTGGCCACCTCCACCTTCTCTTCTACTACAACCTCCTCCACCACCTCCACAACCATCGTTGTCCACCAACCCCCACCATCCATTGCCACCACCACTACCATCGTTGGCTACCTCCACCTTCTCTTCTACTACAACCTCCACCACCTCCACAACCATTATCGACCACCGACCAACATCGTTCATTACCACCACCATGGGCCACCTAACCTCCACCATCGGCTACAACTACCATTGCCCACCACCAGCTACCACTACCACCGTCAACCACAACTATCGGCCACCACTACCACTATTCTACCATATGCATGTCCTTCACAACCACAAATGTCCATCTCCACCACCACTAATATCGTCAGCCACCACTACCATCACACCTATCTCTACCACATAGGCCACAACTACCTCATCCACCAATGTCGATTGCCACCACCACCACCACCACTATCCACCATCTCAATGTCCTCCACAACTACTATCCTCCACCAATTACTAATGCTTCTACCTCCACAACCATTGTTATTGCAACAATCTTTATTGTGCCTTCACCAATTGATAAAGATCTTTCAAACCGAATAAAACATAATTTCTCTTTTGTATGAATCAGGTTTTATCAAAATACCATCAATTATATAAAAAAAAATTATTCAAATTTGGTACTATTTTATATTTATGTATATGAAAATTGTGTAAAAATGTTTAAAAATTTAATTATTTACTTTATTTGTGTTAATTATAACTATATAAAATCATAAAATAACTTTTGGACGAAACTTATTTAGTTTTGTCATGTCCAGTCATAGTCGTACCAAACACCAAACAGGCATTTGTTTCGTCTAGTCATATCCTCTTGTCCAGTCCAGTCTTGTTCGGTTATGTCATGTCCAATCATGTCTGCGTACCAAGCACTAAAATAGAAATTATGAATTGGATCCCTCAAACGAAATAATTCACTTTAGTTACAGATTGGGTCTCTCTTATGACTTTACTAACAATTGCTCTCTAAAATAAAGAGATTTTTTTTTTGTTCTTTTTACATTTTTCTTTCATTTATATTAAAAAAATAGAGTAAATTACACTTTTGGTCCTTGTAGTTGCCACCTACTATCAACTCTCGTCTCTCTTATGGACTAATACATATTGGTCACTATAGTTGTCATTTTGCTTCACTTTTGGTCTCCTCAAACTAACTTCTGTTAGATAGGTCCGTTAACTCAGGAACATTTTGGTTTTTTTAAGATTTTCTCTAATTTTCAATTAGAAAAAAAAATATTATTATTATTTATTATATTAATACATATATACATATGAACATAACCACATATTTGGAAACACATAATCCCTCCCCTCCACTTTTCCCGGTGATTGCACTTCACCTCTTGCAGATATGGAAACACATAAGCGCTAAGGGTGCTCAAAAATCCGATCAACCCGATCAA